AACAAATAGTGGTCTGGAAAAAAGCTCCAGTTAGCTAATAGACTCCACATAAACCAAACTTCTCTCTAATTTAAATTTTGATACAGTCATATGACACTCAATGGAAACACAATCTGAGAAATATGTTATTAGGCCATTTCATCCATGTGTATCCTTAATTACACTCTCAGTTTCTCACACTAGAGAAACTATTCAGTATTTACACGTGTGTCCTATTTATTTAACTTAAGAGGATGGCCTCAATATGCATCCATTTAGCTATAAATGTCCCTAGTTTCTCCTTCTTTATGGCTGAATAGTACTCCATTTTATAAAAAAACCCACATCGTCTTTATCCAGTCTCCAGTTGATGGGCATTTGGGCTGTTTCTAAACTTTAGCTATTACAAACTGTGTCGCTATAAACATGGGTGCACATATAATGCTGTGGTATGATTCTTTTAATTCTTTTGGGAAGATACCCAGCAGGGGGATAGCTGGGTCGAATGGGACCTCTAGTCCTAATTCTTTGAGGTTATCTCCATACTGATTTCCACAATGGTTGCACCAGTCTGCCCTCCCACCAACAATGGAGAAGGGTTCTTTTCTCCCCTCATAAAAATATTTTCTAATATTTGAAAGAAGTCATACTGAAGAGAAACTGTGTATCAGAAATGTGGAAAATCTTCAGCCAATGGAGTAATGGTCAAACACATGAAGAAATTCACACTGGGAAGAAACTGTATGTATGTAAGTATTGTGGGAAAGCTCTCAGTACACAAAAGTGCCATCAAATACATGAAAGAAGGCACATTGGAGAAACTATGTGTGTAGGCAGTTTGGGAAAAGATTTCATACAATCTCTTCATTTTGTAGACAAAACTCACACTGGCAAGTAGCTATGTAAGAAATGTATGAAAAAGTTCCTCTGATACAGTGTCACTCACATGAACAAGGTGCCACTGTGTGAAAAAGCCTATGTAAGCAATGTAGGAAAACCTTCAGCATATATGGGTATTATTAAATACATGAAAGAAGTCACACGGTGCAGAAACCCTACATATGTATGCATAGAAACCTATATGTGTTGAAAATTCTGTGAAAATTATTCATGTAATGGAGACCTGTAGACATAATATGGAAATTTTGATGCCGATATTTCTTCATTAAATTTCTAGAAAATATAAAACTAATTTTCATAGCTGACACATTACCATTCTGTTCACTCTGCAGGTCTGTCCTAATCTTTATTTGTAGAAAAAGAATGAGCACTCTGGAGAGAAATACCTAAAACCCTTGCATTAATAAGTCAATGTTGTTGATATGTCAAATGAAGGATCAGATAACATTTCAATTGTTTAGGATAATGGATTGAACTTGGTGAGGAAGCAGGTATCATTTCTTCATCACCAAAACACTATTTCTGAGATATCTAAATCCATATCTTTCCCTGAAAGTTAAGCCTTGAAATATTGGCCTTTTAAATTTATGTTGCTTAATCTACTGAAAGCAACTTATAATTAATATAATTAAGCTTTTATGTTAAAAAAGAATTTTATATCCCTTTAATATATATTCAAATTGTATGTGTGAAGAAACAATGATGCAACAAGGGGATAGAAAAGCTGTGTATGATGATAAACAAATCTCTACTGAATTATTCATGTAAAACCCAAAAATACTCAAAATAGTAAAATAAATTTATAGTTCTGAAGTTGTTTTACATTTGATTTACATATTAATATTAATATATTAATTTATAAACTAAAAACACTTTTAATCAACTTGTTATAAGTATTAATAGATGTAGTTTTAATTAAAAAGCTAAACCAATTAGAGTTACTAGGTCAATACAAGAAGTTCTACCTGTAAAATTCACAGATCTGAGCCAGGATATTTGCTGATTTATTATCTCCACCAGGCTGTGCTACTGATTAAAATATCTTACTCAGAACCCATATTGTATACTCTTCTTGTGACTCAGACTTTGAAATTTTGTTTAGTAACAAGGCTTTATGGAAATAGATGCTATATATTTCATTCTATGTCCTTAGTAAACATTCTTTGTTGATTATAATATGTACTTCAAAGTGAAAGTCAAACCAGTTTTATTCACTCTGTTTAAATGTGCACTACAATGACTATAAACAAACAAAAAGATGTAAATAGTAGTCATTCACACTCCACTTGAGAAATTGTTTTAAACACATCATAATAATTAAATTAAATATTAGAATAACAATGAATGCTTAACTGTGCTTTAATACCAGTAACTTTACTCAAATTTAAGTTCAAAACTGGCATCATTATCTTAAGACTATTATTTTTACAGCAAAACATTTATTGCTACATTTTAGACATACATAATGATAACACTCATCATAGGGAATTTTTACCTGTATGCCATACCTTCTGCCTTTTTTTTCCATTCCCCCTGCCCCACAATCCCCCCTCCTCTATGTACAGAAGCTTTGTTTCCATTTTTTCCATCTATTTTTCACTTCTTTTCTTAAAACTATTCTTAAAAATCAATGTATTAAAGCTTTTTTAAAAACATGAAATCTTTGTATAAATATAAAATCTTGAGGGTGTACCTCAGTGGTAGAATATGTGCTAGAATATGAGGTCCTAGTTTCAATCCACAGCACACAGACAAAAAATAATAATCATGAACCAGTATCACTTCTTTAGGAAAATCTGCCATAGACTTATTCAAAGTAGTGACAGTTAACTGTTAACTGATAGTTATAATTAACTGTAGTGATAATTAATCTGTGAACAGTTTAACTTCTGTGTAACATTCATAATCAGAACATTTTAAACAGCATGATTTTTATGATGAATAACTCATAGTGACTCCAAATGAGTATTTCATATGTAATAGTTGTATAAAAATGTGTCACCAGAAAGGTCTGACCCAAGCTTCTCATTTTTAACATTCCAGAAAAATTACAGCTATTATTAAAAGATCAGGATAAAATGATTCTATGTAGCCTATCCTGTTTAACCTATTTTAAAGTTGGACTTCTGCAGGGGTATGTGCATTCTTCTAGTTGGGCAATAAAAACTTTGTTATATCCATGTTTGGAGATTAAGAGAGTCCATTAAATTAATAAAGGCTATGTAGGTACACTGCAGATATGAGCCAAATTCAAAGGACTAATACTCTAAGCTACCAGCAGCATGGCCACATCATACCTGGGAAAATGAACATCCCATCTAAGGATCTGGGGTATTTCAAAAATGAAAATGTTGAGAAAAGAAAACATAAGTCACTTACATTAAAAACACAATGGCAATAGATGACAGTATCAGGACAGTGCAAAGTTGGCAAAATCCTGGATTAGGGCAAGTGGCATAAAGTGAGGTTGTTGCTAGTTCTTGGTTCATTGGTTCTAAAAGTAGAATGACTGTCACCTTGATGGCTAAATTTTCAATGTACAGAAAAGGAAAATTGGTGTGTGTAGGGGTGTGTTTTGTTTTTCTTTATTTTGTTGATTTAGCTTGAAGCTGCCAGTTAAGATAAACTCATATTATCATTTTCCTCCCTACATCCTCCATCCCTGTACCTTAATTTAGTGCATCTCGGTATTTATCTCTAACTACCCAGTAAGATCATCTCTGCTACAGTCATCTTTGCTCAGGGAATGATTGCAATAGAAACCTCATTTTCATCCTCATGTTGAAATAATTCTCCAGAAGTTCTCTCTGCTTCTTCACAATTCTCCTTTCTTTTTCCCACTGTTGACAGGATGAACAATTGCTTCAAAGATTGGATTTTGCCTCACTACCTGTGTGGCCATAAGCAAGTAACATAACCATTCCTTCATCAAGAGAACAGAAAAAGAGACATCATTAACTGAAGAAGGGGAAGGGAAAATTATGAGAAAAGAAAAAAAATGGAAACAAAATCTATGTAAATAAGGAAGGGTGGAGGGGGTGAAGGGCGTACAGGTAATGGGAGAAAAAATAAGAACCAAGATTCATCATGTACAGGTACAAGCACCCAATGATAAATGTAAACGTATTGTATACCTAAAATGTACCAATAAAAGAATTAAAAAGAAAAGAAAAAAATAGAAGAATGTGACACACAGTATGACCCACTGAGTCAAGTTATCTCTCTAAGAAGCAAAAGCAAGAAGACAAATTTATGGAATGTAAAAGTAAGTCCCAACCGGGCAAGATTCATTCCATATATTTTTATGCGTGATTTTAAAGGATAAAATAGACTTTGTTTTATAACATTCAATCCTTGTTATGCAGCTGGAGAAATAAAGAATCATAATATTTCATGTGACACAGTGTTCACGAGCCAGGAATACCATTGTGTAGTTCTGAATGGCAGACACAAACCACAGGTACACGGACAAACTGATAATTTCAGTTTGATTTATTACAAAATATCAGTTGGCCAACACATTGTCTTTACTGGGGGATATGAAAAGTTAGACACAGTTATAGGCCTCATCCATTCTCATATATCCACAAGCATAAAAGTCTTAGTCCAAGAAGTGTATAATTTCATTAATACATGTGAGGCTGAAACTCTCAGAATGACAACTGCTACTGAAAAAAATCGAGACATTTTTATTATGTCCACAATTTTTATGATCCATTTTATTTTAATATAGTTATAAGCACTAGAACACTTGGAACAGGAAAAATTTGGTATAACTGATTCCTTGAAGAAGGAGGCATACAATAAAGCAGGGGATGCTACATTTTGATAGGAAAAGTTATCAGCCCAGTGTCTTCCTCTTGTACAGGGAATGTAGACCAGGTTGGAACCACCTTGGAACTGAGGTTGAGTCTGAAGTCCAAGAACAGGCACTTGTGGTCATATTGCATGGTGGCCAGAGAGAGAAAAGATAGTACTATAGAATTCCTGCTCAGACTGTCAGATGGGCTGAAAAGATGAAGACAGGGAAGAGAAGAAGAGAAGAAAGGTAATGAGAAAGATTAGGAAGTGAAGATTTACCAAGAAATGTGGGCAGGGATCGAGGCAGCTTCTCTGTTTGCTCAGCTTGTGTTTCTCTTTAGGGCTCTCTTCAGAGCAAGTTTGACATCCTTATTTCTGAGGCTATAAATGAGGGGGTTCAGCATAGGCACCACAGATGTATAACACACTGAGAAAAACTTTCCCTGGCCCACTGAGCCAGCAGATGATGGCCTGACATAAGTGAGTACCCCAGATCCATAGAATAGTCCAACAGTGATTATGTGAGAACCACAGGTGCTGATGGCTTTGGAGGAACCCCTAGCTGATGACACATGACTGATATTAAAGAGTATCAAAGCATATGAGATAAAAATAATGAGGCTGGAAATAATGATAACTGTGCCCACAACAACAGAACTCACAAGCTCATTGAGATAGATGCTGCTGCAGGAGAGCTGAAGGAGGGGGAAGATGTCACACATGTAGTGGTTGATGATGTTGGAATCACAAAAGATGAGCCTGATCATACACCCGGTGTGGAGCATGGCACCAGCAAACCCCATCATGTATGAACCAAATATCAGCAGAGAACAGGTTCTAGGGGACATGATGGCCATGTACAGAAGGGGCTGACAGATGGCCACATAGCGATCATAGGCCATAGCTGTCAGCACATAGCACTCCGAGTTGACAAAAAAGCAGAAGAAGAACAGCTGAATCATACACCCTGTAAAAGAAATGATGTTCCTCTCTAAAACAAACCCCATCAGCAATTTGGGAGTACAGACAAATGAGTAACATAAATCAATGAAGGACAAATTGAAGAGAAAAAAGTACATGGGTGTGTGAAGGTGCAAATTCAGGCAAATCAGGTAAATTAAGCTCAAATTTCCCACAACAGTGACTACATTGTTAATGAAGAACAAGAAAAACAGGGGTAGTTGTAACTCAGGTTGGTCTGTCAGCCCCATTAGAATAAACTCCATCACTGAAACATTGTTTTCCATATTCATTTCCTTCATGGTGGGATCTGTAGAAACAGGGGATGCCAGTGATATTAACAAGGAACCATCTGAGCTAGAGGTAGAGCTGCTGGTTTACACGCTAAAGTTGTCTGAAAACATACAGCAAGGCCTCCAAAGAGCAAGACTGTTGATTTCTGAGGAATCCTGATTTCCTTCTTTCCCCTCTATGTGTAGTTTCTGGCCAGGAAGCAAGCTGGTAGATCTCACAATGCCTCTGAATATTATTACTTCACTTCAGTTTTTACTGTAGATTAGGACTGCAAAGAGCAATAAATAAAAGGTGTTCCCACAAACCCATGATAAATAAGTGGCCTTCCCACAAACCCATGACTTGAATGTAAAGATGATTTTATGCTCACCTTCACCCTAGAGACCTCTCGGTTCTTGGATCTGAAGGACCCTTCCTCTCCACTGTTCTGAGGTGAACTCAAATTTTGTGATGATTCAGGAGGTAATGTGTATCAGTGCATATCTGTCATATTAGCAGACTATTCTGGGTTGGATGCCATGGTTTTCTAAAATTCTCTAGAAAGTTCTCCTCACTTGCAAGAAAAAAGACAGCAATCTTATGTGAGTCCCCAAAAGTCACTTCACTCAAATGAGAACCTATTTTATGACCCATAGTTTTGTAGAAAATGATTAGATGTACAGAAAATTATTCTCTCCTTTATTATTTCATCTTGTGTTGGATGAGGCTCCTGAGGGTAGAAATTACTGAGCATGTGTTTACATCCTATGCTATAAACCTAACATTGGGTCTTTAGAGACTCAGTGTTCTACCTAACTAAAAGTTTCCCATCAGGAATACCTCATCCCCTGGGCAGAGTAGTGGATGGCCCACTTTTAACCCTCTTCATCATGCCCTGAAGAACTCTACAAGAAGAACCAGGGCATAGTCACTTGCTATTTCTAGTATGCTGCTACAAGCCTCTGGGATTGCATTAATAAATATTAAACTTGATCATAGCTTTAACACTTTATATATTGTCAAGTTCACTCCAATAATTGGATGTCGTAGCAAAAAACTTGAAAGAACAGGTGCGAGTGCTCAATCTGAGTTTAAATCTAGACTTAACTCCCCAAAATGAGACTGTCAGTGAGTCATGTAACTACTCTGACCCTTCCTTATTTATATTTAAATCTATGTGTACTTGTGTGTATCTATAAAATGATGCTCATATAAAGGTTTCTCATTGGGATGTTGTAAGATTTAAGTGAGATGACTCACAAATAAAGTATTGGGATTGTGACATACACAAAGAGCCTGGCACATATTACAAGTAGTATGCCTTCACTCCTTACCCTGTCCCACATGTATATTCATATAACAAACCTTGGCACTATGGACATTTGGGTGAGATAAGCTTTTGTTGTGGGGCTGTTCAGTGTGGAGAATGCAGAGATCAATACCCTCTGCCCATTAGATAGTAAGGTATCTTCCCCCCACCCCATATACATACACACCAAAAAGAAAAAAACAAACCTCCCTATGGCCATAAAAATCTTCAGACACTATCAAATGTTCCATGTGTGATCATGGGGCTTGAAAAATGATACTTCAATATATAGTGCCTTGGTAAGCTAAGAACTTTGAACTGAAAACATCAGAAGGGTACAGGAGAGAGTCACTTTCTGATCTTTGTCTTCCCTTCTTCCTCCTGTTCCCCTTACTCCTCCAAGGCTGGCCATAAAAATAAAAATTTCCTGTTACTCAAAGAAGGTCATAGAAACTATAACTCACCTCCTTCAAAGCCAGCCACAAACCTAGAAATATTCTTATTCTCAACTTTCTGTATAAGACCTGGACATAAATTCTCTAACCATCACTGATAGTAGATCATAAAACCTTCATTGCAGAAGATATCCTCCTCCATATCTAGGAGGAAGGATGCCACAGAGAGATCTAACCATCACTGATAGTAGATCATATAACTCGAGGGTCCAGTGTAGTAATTTCCTATATATTACTAATATATAACAATTTCATAGTTTAATCATTTATGTATGGTTTTGATTCCTTTTGGAAGAACTGTAGTGCAGGATGTGGCATAGAGGTCATAGATCCACAGCCCTTCTTTTTCCCCCTTTCTTTGTAGTTACATAGTGTTCCAGCATGAAACTTAAAATTTTATTCCCAGTGGCATATGTTATGTTGTTGCTTTGTCAAATGTCAATCAACTACATAAGTGAGGATCTATTTCTCAATTTTCTATTGCATACCATAAATTTGTGTATCTTTTAAAATTTTTTATTAGTGTATATTTGCAATACATAATAATGATATTCATTTTTGAGAATTGGAACATATACATAATGGATCTTGAACATTTTCACTCTGTTTAAGAGAAAGTTCCATGTTGATAAAAATCTCTATTCTATTGTTGAGGAAACACTCTGCAGATCATTCAAGTTCATTTGTTTGACGTAGTGGTTCAACACTGATATTTCTTGGTTTTTTGCCTGGTTGACCTATTTGTGAGACAGGGACATTGAACTCTCCCATCATGAGTGTGTCAATGTCTATCTGAACATTTATGTTCAGTTTTTGTTTTAGATACTGGGTTACCAGCATTCAGTCATATATATTTATAATTTTTATCTCTTCCTAAAAAATTGTTCCTTTTATCCATATGTATTGGTATTCTTTATCTCTTATGATCAGCTTTGGATTGAAGTCCACTTTGTCTGAAAATAAGATAACTACTCCTACCTGCTTTTCAGCTCCTTTTGCCTGCAGTATTGCTTTCCATCCTTTGAATTTCATTGCAAAGCTAAGACCATTTCTATTTAAAATAATTACTGAAAGGTATTTACTGAATCTTGCATCTTTACACTGCTCTATTCTTTATTTTTTCCCTTTTGTTTAACTAGTGACCAAGTTAGATGCATTATTTCCTTTGGGCTCTTTTGTTATGTTGACCTTGCTATCTCTATCTAAAATTCCTTTGAGTATTTTCTGCAATACTGGTTCAGTAGTGTACTTTGTCATGGAAGGTCTTTATTTCCAAATCAATTTTGAAAGATGATTTTGTAGGACATACTTATTTGGGTTGAAAATTAATTTGGGTTAATTTTTAAGGCTTGAAAAACTTCACTGGAAACTCTCCTTTCCTTTAAAATTTTTATGAGAAATCTGCTGTTATTCTGGTATGCTTTCATTGACAAGTTTCTTGCCGCTTTAACATGTTTTAGCATTCTTTGATGCTGAATATCTGGGATTTTAACTATAATTTGTTTTGAAGAAATTATTTTCTGTTCATGACTATTGGGGTTCTACATGCCTTGTTTACATAAAAATAAATATAGATTTGGAAAACATTCTCCTGGATTTTGGTGAATAAATATTTGATTCCACTTTTATCAGCTTTTAATCATTCCTTACCTCCTATAATTGTTAGGATTATTTTTTAGACATGTACCAGTTTATGGATCCAGTTTCCATGGTAACATTGATTTTAGGGTATCACTGAGTACATGATCTACTATTTTAATCATGCCTTCTTCTTACACTATTTTCTCAGATTGGTCACTTCTTCTGCCCACAATTTCAAGGGAATTTTTTGTATATTGGATTTCTACTTGATTTCTCTTCATGATCTCTAGTTCTTAATGATCATTCAGGTGTTGCATCAAATTGTTTGATTCAATCAGCATTTTGCTTGGGTCCTCTTTAAGTTCCTTGAGCACTTTACCAGATAATTCTTTATTTATTTACATCCTTTTTGAGCTTACTACACACTGTATGGGTTTGTTTGTTTATTTCTTCTTTCTTCTTCAATCTCTTCAAATATTCTAAGCATTTGCTTTCATACTTCCCCTACTTTATTGCCTGTAAGATAAGATTTCAGGGAGATAAGTGTTTTCAGGGGCATCTTGTTGCTTGGTTTATCCTTGGGCCTGGTGGGGGTGAGGTCAATGAACTTACCTTTCCCTCTGCAGGTAGTGCTTTGTTTGGTTGGAGTTGCAGTCTTGAGGGCAGGGCTAGCTGGAGGATTTTTGCCTCTCTTTTATGATTGGATACCTTCAATGGTATCAGAAGTGGAAGGGTAGTGTGACTGCTCAAGTACCCAGTTTTCTGTTGATTCCCAAAGGGATCATCCTGATCTCTGCCTCCTTCCCCCCATGATAATCTCTGCAGCTGCTTATGTCTACTTCCTATGCCACTCCAGATGAGCATGCCAAGCAACATCCTCTGGCTGTGCCATCCCTCTCTGGTTCTCTTTCCGCACTATGATTGCACTCCACTGTCCACCCTCTGAGTTCAGTGGTGCCTAAGGATTATGGCACTCAGCAGCTTTTGACTGGGGATGGAAGGGTTCCTGTGCAGAGCCAAAGGTTGGGGACAAGCAGGATACCCCACAGGTGCAGAGCTCACCACTGTTTAGGGGAATGATGCAAGGGTGCCTGTTTTGGCACTCCTGGAGGGACTAGTCTCCTCCCCTTGGTCACACTGCTTATCAGTGCTGCCCATCCTTAGTTATCACATCATTATACCAGTTTTCAAAAGTAATTAATGTAAGTCTTCTATGTCATTTATGTTCCCCTGACAATCCAAGAAATGATTAGACCTATAAAACAGGTATTATGGCACACCCTTTGAAGAAAACAATGCGAGGGGTTTTGAGTGAATGATGAAGACTTCAGACCAGGATGAATGTCAGACACCTAAAGAGAGAGAAGTGGAAGCATTGTGTCAGAAAATCTCAGACTGCAGTGCAGTTTTCGAAAGTCTTGATCACAATGATAAGAATTCTCTAAACAAACATTGGCTATCAGAGTAGACCTGTATTAGGCAGAAATTGGGCAGATCTGGTAAGCCCCACACACCATACTCAGCCATTGGGTGGGGCATTTTGGAGTAAATATGACTAAACACTGTGCTACCCACAAAGGAGTATTAGCTGCAGAGTTTCAGTAACTAGGCTCCTTACAGGTGACTCTCCTCAAGGGGCTGAATAGGCTCCTGTAAGTCTGCCATAGTCCACCTCCAAATAACA